ATTTCAGAAATTTAAGACGCCATGGAGAAAATTTTTTACATCTATGCCAGTCTATGCAATAATTGTTGCAAACTTCTGCAGAAGCTGGACTTTTTATTTATTGCTTATCAGTCAACCAGCATATTTTGAGGAAGTCTTTGGATTTGAAATTAGCAAGGTATGTAAAAATTATCCTTATTTAAATAGTGGATGATTTTTTTATATAGTGAATATTAAATTACTTTGCCAAGATTTATCTTCTAAATTTCATGAGTTATTAATTTATTCATTCTGCAAATTTCTACCATGAAATAGAAACTAAGTAAGGTGTCTGTATGTCTACTATACCCTATTGTCTTCCAGAAACTGCTCTCTACTGTTGGGAATACAGGCACAACAGAAAAGTCTTATATATTGTTCATCTAATTTCTTAATTAAACAAGCATTTGTTGAATATAAAATACAAAACTTTGTGTTAGATTCAGGAATAAAAACATAGTTTCTGTCCTCAAAATGTTCACAGCTTGGTGATGTAGACAAAAAAAATAAGTTACCAATTATAGCACAACATGCTAAGTGCAGCAGACATTTGTTCCTAGCTATGCAGATATAATCATTTTGAGATGGTCTATAAGGACATAAAAATACTACTTTATATTTACATAAGGATTTAAAATTTAGAAGGTCCATTCATATTTATGACCAACCTTGTTTTGTTGACCTGCTGAATAACTATCATCATTTCTATTAAACTAACAGGGAAGCAGAAATTAAGCAAAATATTTAAATTGCCCAAAGCCATGCTAGTAATAAGTGACAGAATCAAGTTTAGACCCAGATCCTTTGATTTCTGTTTCAATTCCCTTTACTCTGCCATTCAAATTCAGGTAAACCATATACCTATTCGAGCATCTAGCAAGTATTTGTTAAATGCTGTCTCTGTGGCAATCTCTTTGCCAAGTTCTGAATACACTTGTCTGTGCTGGCAATGGTCTGGCCATTTCTCTTCATGTCATTACATAAGCCCAGCTCGGCTTGCTATTCATATTATGTCTCTTACTTGAAAGACTATCTGAGGCCTGTGACTGAAGAAGACCTGAGTTTAGGAGTAGCTATTCTAAGAGCTCTTTTGTAATCTCTGTTTCTAAGGAAACTGTTTCCTCTCTCCCTGAGAAGAATGGCTGCGTTAAACAGGGCCCTTCTCTCTGGAGCTGATCAAACATTCCAGGGTAGCCTTTGGGAGCTCTGAGAGGTGTTATGCATCTCAGCAAAGGCTGCTGGAGGTGTGAGTCCATTTTCATAGTCTAGGACAGATATGACATTGAGAGGCCATTAGTAGAGTCAGGTTTCATGGGGGAAAGTGAGGGAAACAAGTGATGTTAATGAAATTGAGTGGTCATTCTGGCTTTGCATCACCAATTAATTGAAAATACTTGAATTAAAGCAATGGTAATTTGTGAAAACTAAATATAATAAGCAGATGCAATTATTTATTCGGTTCACCTGTTATGTTTTTATCTAAAATTGTGAATTCATTCTACACAGACAGATTGGTCTGAAGATTTTGATTAGACTGGTAAAGGAAGAAAAAACTCTGACTTACTTGAAAAATGTATAAAGGAGGTGATGGAGGACCTGGAGTGTGGGCTTTGGATCTAGGCTGATGTGGTTTCAAATCCAAGCTCTATAACAAAGTATTAATACATACATACCCCTGGGCTGGTTTTTGGGTAATTGTCAGCCTCAATTTTATTATCTACAAATAATGATATTAATACCATCTTTCAAAAGGGTGCAGCAAAATTTAAGTGAAATAAAATACTTACATGGAAGGTCCTTCCCCCCAACGTTAAATTATTCTACAGATAAAACCACAAGTTCAATGGCTTAATTCTCTTTCCAGGTACACAGAGTCAGTTAAGAGAGAACTAATATATGTTATTATATGTATTACATTGTGCTAATGAACTTAACTGATGTGTGTATATATATTATATTACTTTATGCTGATATGTGAAACTTTTCAGCCCCTTGAGAATGGTATATCAAGGAAGACCTACGCTAGGATTAACTAGCACTTTGAAAGCCCAGATATGGGCATTAGCCAAATGAGAAGAGACGCTCGTTCCCTTTGAACTTCGTGTCTTGAGGAGGAGAATAGTGTTGGGTGGTTGCTCTTTGCTGCTGCACAACCTGCCAATTTCTAAGCAGAATATGGACCAAACGGAGAGAGATACAATCCAGACGGTGATCCAGAGAAGAGGAGGACGGGGCATGGTCTAATAACCTAGGTTTTCTATGAATGATCCATCAATTATAAGCTCAAACTATTTAGCCTACTCTTGCTAAACCTAAAAATAATGAGCAAACTGCTGTGCGCTTACCATAAATAATGATACTCTAAGAAGGTTTTGATCATTCTGATCATATGGAAAGTGATTACTCATGACAGGTCACCAAAAGCTGAGAAGATAGTTGAATAACTCTCATGAAGTTTTGAGACTTCTGTGGCCCTGTTGAGATCAAATACAGAATATGTCTATGTGTTGCCTAAAGAACTAAGAGATTCAACTCTCAAATATTAAGTTAGTGGGATAAAATGCTCCAGAACTTCTGTCTCATTAACCTCTAGATTTTTAGGTCCCTTTCTCCCTTGCCCCTCATTTTCTCTTTACCTCATTTTTTGCTTTACCACACCCTTTGCTGAAAGAGTGAATAAATGATAGCTGTAGCTTTGTTCTTTGCTTATCCAAAGTAACCAAAATGTTTATTTGAATAGATAGTAAATAGCAGAGGATGTTCAATTTAAGAGCTTTTCAAATATATCAAATACTGGGTCAAAATGCAGGTTCACTATGTGGACTTAGGAAATGCAGTCACTCCCAAGCTTTTAGCCTGTTTTTATATCAAACACATGGCACGTAATTCTGTACAACTACAATATCATGTTGTTCAAACA